TGCTGTGTGTGTGACAGGTGCTCTTGTGTGTGTGTGACAGGTGCTCTTGTGTGTGACAGGTGCAGTGTGCTCTTGTGTGTGTGTGACAGGTGCTCTTGTGTGTGTGACAGGTGCTCTTGTGTGTGTGTCAGGTGCTGTGTGTGTTGACAGGTGCTCCTGTGTGTGTGACAGGTGCTCTTGTGTGTGTGACAGGTGCTCCTGTGTGTGTGACAGGTGCTCTTGTGTGTGTGACAGGTGCTCTTGTGTGCTTGTGTGTGTGACAGGTGCTCTGTGTGTGTGACAGTGTGTGACAGGTGTGTTGTGTGTGTGACAGGTGCTCTTGTGTGTGTGACAGGTGCTCCTGTGTGTGTGACAGGTGCTCTTGTGTGTGACAGGTGCTCTGTGTGTGTGACAGGTGCTCTTGTGTGTGACAGGTGCTGTGTGTGTGACAGGTGCTCTTGTGTGTGTGACAGGTGCTCCTGTGTGTGTGACAGGTGCTCTCCTGTGTGTGTGACAGGTGCTCTTGTGTGTGTGACAGGTGCTCTTGTGTGTGTGACAGGTGCACAGGTGCTCTGTGTGTGTGACAGGTGCTCTGTGTGTGTGACAGGTGCTCTTGTGTGTGTGTGACAGGTGCTCTGCAGGTGCTGTGTGTGTGACAGGTGCTCTTGTGTGTGTGACAGGTGCTCTGTGTGTGTGACAGGTGCTCTTGTGTGTGCAGGTGCTCTTGTGTGTGTGACAGGTGCAGGTGCTCTGTGTGTGTGACAGGTGCTCTTGTGTGTGTTGACAGGTGCTGTGTGTGTGACAGGTGCTCTTGTGTGTGACAGGTGCTCTTGACAGGTGCTCTTGTGTGTGACAGGTGACAGGTGCTCTTGTGTGTGTGACAGGTGCTCTTGTGTGTGACAGGTGCTCTGTGTGTGGACTGTGTGTGTGACAGGTGCTCTTGTGTGTGTGACAGGTGCTCTTGTGTGTGTGACAGGTGCTCTTGTGTGTGTGACAGGTGCTCTTGTGTGTGTGACAGGTGCGCTCCTGTTCTTTCGGCTCATTTCTTTTGTTCTTGTTTCAGGTGGATTTTGATGAAGTTTTAAACTCGACTCACGACAACAAAACACTGAACCTCGTCCAGACGCTTCTGCACAGGTCAGACTGACCCAGTCACACACGTGTGTCTGTGTCTGTGTGTGTGTGTGTGTGTGTACACATACACATATATATATATATATATATATATATATATGTGTGTATATACATAAATGAAACAGGTCGGGTGGGCAGGTGCGCCCCTGTCTCGTTTCACACTGGAGACTGAAACATTTCCACAGATTCTCTTTGTTTTTATTTTGATCGATGGTTTTGAACTCAGCGTTTGGAAAAGTGAGAAAAAGTTTGATTGTTTCAGTACGAAGTTAAAAGGACAAAAGAGTCAAACGTTTTTTCATCGTGTCTAAACATTCGTCTCGTTCGTTCGTCTCGTTCGTTCCTTCGTCTCGTTCGTTCGTTCGTCTCATTCGTTCGTTCGTTCGTTCGTTCGTTCGTTGTTCGTTCGTTCGTCGTCGTTCGTCGTTCGTTCGTTCGTTCGTTCGTCTCGTTCGTTCGTTCGTTCGTTCGTTCGTTCTCGTTCGTTCGTTTCGTCGTTCGTTCGTTCGTTCGTTCGTTCGTTCGTCGTTCGTTCGTCTCGTTCGTTCGTTCGTTCGTTCGTTCGTCGTTCGTTCGTCTCGTTCGTTCGTTCGTTCGTTCGTTCGTTCGTTCGTTCGTTCGTTCGTTCGTTCGTTCGTTCGTTCGTTCGTCGTTCGTTCTCGTCGTTCGTCTCGTTCGTCTCGTCTCGTTCGTTCGTCGTCTCGTTCGTATCTCGTTCGTTCGTCTCGTTCGTTCGTTCGTTCGTTCGTTCGTTCGTTCGTTCGTTCATTCGTTCGTTCGTTTCATTCGTTCGTTGTTCGTTCGTTCGTCATCGTTCGTTCGTCTCGTTCGTTTTCGTCTCGTTCGTCTTCGTCTCGTTCGTTCGTTCGTTCGTTCATTCGTTCGTCGTCGTTCGTTCGTTCGTTCATCTCTCGTTCGTTCGTTCGTCTCGTTCGTTCATCTCGTTCGTTCGTCTCGTTCGTTCGTTCGTCTCGTTCGTTCGTCTCGTTCGTTCGTTCGTTCGTCTCGTTCGTTCTTCGTCTCGTTCGTTCGTTCGTTCGTTCGTCTCGTTCGTTCGTCTCGTTCGTTCGTCTCGTTCGTTCGTCTCGTTCGTCTCGTTCGTTCGTCTCGTTCGTTCGTCTCGTTCGTTCGTCGTCGTTCGTTCGTCGTTCGTTCGTTCGTTGTCTCGTTCGTTCGTTCGTTCGTCTCGTTCGTCGTCTCGTTCGTTCGTTCTCGTCTCGTTCTCGTTCGTCGTTCGTTCGTCTCGTTCGTCGTCGTTCGTCTCGTTCGTTCGTTCGTCTCGTTCGTTCTCGTTCGTTCGTTCGTTCGTTCGTTCGTTCGTTCGTCTCGTTCGTTCGTTCGTTCGTTCGTTCGTCGTCGTTCGTCGTCGTTCTCGTTCGTTCGTCGTCGTTCGTTCGTTCGTTCGTTCGTTCGTCTCGTTCGTTCGTCGTTCGTTCGTCGTTCGTCTCGTTCGTTCGTTCGTTCGTATCGTTCGTCGTTCGTTCGTTCGTTCGTTCGTTCCGTCGTTCGTTCGTATCGTTCGTTGTCGTTCGTCGTTCGTTCGTCTCGTTCGTTCGTCTCGTTCGTTCGTTCGTTCGTCGTTCGTCTCGTTCGTTCGTCGTTCGTTCGTCTCGTTCGTTCGTTCGTTCGTTTCGTTCGTCGTTCGTTCGTCTCGTTCGTCTCGTCTCGTTCGTCTCGTTCGTTCGTTCGTTCGTTCGTCGTTCGTCTCGTTCGTTCGTCTCGTCTCGTTCCTTCGTCTCGTTCGTCTCGTTCGTTCGTTCGTCGTTCGTTCGTTCGTCGTCGTTCGTCTTCGTTCGTTCCTCGTTCGTCTCGTTCGTTCGTCGTTCTTCGTTCGTTCGTTCGTTCGTCTCGTTCGTTCGTTTTCGTCGTCGTTCGTCGTTCGTTCGTTCGTCGTTCGTTCGTTCGTCTCGTTCGTTTCGTTCGTGTCGTTCGTTCGTGTTCGTCTCGTTCGTTCGTTCGTCTCGTTCGTCGTCGTTCCTTCGTCTCGTTGTCTCTCGTTCGTTCGTTCGTTCGTTCGTTCGTCTCGTTCGTTCGTTCGTTCGTCTCGTCGTCTTCTCGTTCGTTTCGTTCGTTCGTTCCGTTCGTGTCGTTCTCGTTCTTCGTCTCGTTCGTTCCTCGTCGTTTCGTCTCGTTCGTTCTCTCGTTCGTGTTCGTCTCGTTCGTTCGTTCGTTTCTCGTTCGTTCGTTCGTTCGTCTCGTTCGTTCGTCTCATTCGTTCGTCTCGTTCGTTCGTCTCGTTCGTTCATCTCGTTCGTTCGTTCGTCTCGTTCGTTCGTTCGTTCGTTCGTTCGTTCGTTCGTCCTCGTTTCGTCTCGTTCGTTCGTTCGTCTCGTTCGTTCGTCTCGTTCGTTCGTCTCGTTCGTTCGTTCGTTCGTTCGTTCGTTCGTTCGTTCGTTCGTCCGTTCGTTCGTTCGTCTCGTTCGTTCGTCTCGTCGTCGTTCCGTTCGTTCGTTCCTTCGTCTCGTTCGTGTTCGTTCGTTCATTCGTTCGTTCGTTCGTCTCGTTCGTTCTCGTTCGTCTCGTTCGTTCGTCGTTCGTTCGTTCGTTCGTCTCTCGTTCGTTCGTCTCGTTCGTTCATTCGTTCGTTCGTTCTTCTCGTTCCCTTCGTCTCGTTCGTCTCGTTCGTCTCGTTTCGTCGTCGTCTCGTTCGTTCGTCTCGTTCGTTCGTTCGTTCGTTCTCGTTCGTTCGTTCGTTCGTTCGTCTCGTTCGTTCGTTCGTCTCGTTCGTTCGTCGTTCGTTCGTCTCGTCGTTCGTCGTCGTCGTTCTCGTGTTCGTTCGTCGTTCGTTCGTTCGTTCTTCGTTCGTCGTTCGTTCGTCTCGTTCGTTCGTTCGTCTCGTTTCGTCTCGTTCTGTCTCGTCCGTTCGTCTCGTTCGTTTCGTGTTCGTCTCGTTCGTTCGTTTCGTTTCGTTCGTTCGTTCGTTCGTTCGTTCCGTTCGTTCGTCGTTCTCCGTTCGTTCGTTCGTTCGTCTCGTTCGTTCGTTCTTTCGTCGTCTCGTTCGTTCGTCTCGTTCGTCTCTCGTTCGTCGTTGTGTCGTTCGTTCGTTCGTTCGTTCGTCGTCGTCTCGTTCGTTCGTTCGTCGTCGTTCGTTCGTCTCGTCGTCGTTCGTCGTCTTCGTTTCGTTCGTCTGTTCGTTTCTCGTTCGTTCTCGTTCGTCTCGTTCCTTCGTCTCGTTCGTCTCGTTCCTTCGTCTCGTTCATTCGTTCGTCTCGTTCGTTCGTTCATCTCGTTCCTTCGTCTCGTTCGTCTCGTTCGTTCGTCTCGTTCGTTCGTCTCGTTTGTTCGTTCGTCTCGTTCGTTCGTCTCGTTTGTTCGTTCATCTCGTTCCTTCGTCTCGTTCGTCTCGTTCGTTCGTCTCGTTTGTTCGTTCGTCTCGTTCGTTCGTTCGTTCGTTCGTCGTCTCGTTCGTTCGTCTCGTTCGTCTCGTTCCTTTCGTCTCGTTCCTTCGTTCTCGTTCGTCTCGTTCGTTTCGTTCGTCTCGTTCGTTCGTTCGTTCGTCGTTCGTCTTCGTTCGTTCGTCTCGTTCGTTCGTTCGTTCGTTCGTCGTTCGTTCGTTCGTTCGTCTCGTTCGTTCGTTCGTTCGTTCGTTCGTCGTCGTTCGTTCGTTCTCGTTCGTTCGTTCGTCGTTCGTCTCGTTCGTCTCGTTCGTTCGTCTCGTTCGTTCGTCTCTTCGTTCGTCTCGTTCCTTCGTCTCGTTCCTTCGTCTCGTTCGTTCGTCTCGTTCGTTCGTTCGTCGTTCGTCTCGTTCGTCTCGTTCGTGATCGTTCGTTCGTCTCGTTCGTCTCGTTCTCGTTCGTCTCGTTCGTTCTTCGTCTCGTTCGTTCGTTCGTCTCGTTCGTTCGTTCGTTCGTTCGTTCGTTCGTTTCGTTCGTTCGTTCGTTCGTTCGTTCGTTCGTTCGTTCGTCGTCTCGTTCGTTCGTTCGTTCCTCGTTCGTCTTCGTTCGTTCGTTCGTTCGTTCGTTCGTCGTTCGTTCGTTCGTTCGTCGTTCGTCGTTCGTTCGTTCGTCTCGTTCGTTCGTCGTTCGTCTCGTTCGTTCGTTCGTCTCGTTCGTTCGTTCGTTCGTTCTCGTTCGTTCGTTCGTCGTTCGTCTCGTTCGTCGTCCGTTCGTTCGTTCGTCTCGTTCGTCTCGTCGTTCGTTCGTTCTTCGTCTCGTCGTCTCGTTCGTCTCGTCTCGTTCGTTCGTCGTCGTTCTCGTTCGTTCGTTCGTCTCGTTCGTCTCGTCTCGTTCGTTCGTCGTTCGTTCGTTCGTTCGTCGTTCGTCTCGTTCGTTTTCGTCTCGTTCGTCTCGTTCGTCGTTCGTTCGTTCGTCGTCGTTCCGTTCGTCGTCGTTCGTTCGTCGTTTGTTCTCGTTCGTCGTTCGTTCGTTCGTTCGTTCGTTCGTCTCGTTCGTTCGTCTCGTTCGTATTCGTTCGTCGTTCGTTTTCGTCTCGTTCGTGTTCGTCTCGTTCCGTTCGTCTCGTTCTTCGTTCGTTTCGTCGTTCGTTCGTTCGTCTTCGTTCGTTCGTTCTCGTTCGTCTCGTTCGTTCGTCTCGTTCGTCTCGTTCGTCTCGTTCGTTCGTTTCGTCGTCGTTCGTCTCGTTCGTCTCGTCTCGTCTCGTTCGTTCGTTCGTTCTCGTTCGTTCGTTCGTTCGTTCGTCGTCTCGTTCTCGTTCGTTCGTCTCGTTCGTTCGTCTCGTTCGTTCGTTCGTTTCGTTCGTTCTCGTTCTCTCGTTCGTTCGTTCTCGTTCGTCTCGTCTCGTTCGTCGTCGTTCTCGTTCGTTCGTTCGTCTCGTCTCGTTCGTCTCGTTCGTTCGTTCGTCTCGTTCGTCTCGTTCGTCTTCGTCTCGTTCGTCTCGTTCGTTCGTTCGTTCGTTCGTTCGTTCTCCTTCGTTCGTTCGTTCGTCTCGTTCGTCTCGTTCTCGTTCGTTCGTTCTTCGTTCGTCTCGTTCGTTCGTTCGTCTCGTTCCTTCGTCTCGTTCCTTCGTCTCGTTCGTCTCGTTCGTCTCGTTCCTTCGTCTCGTTCGTTCGTCTCGTTCCTTCGTCTCGTTCGTCTCGTTCGTTCGTTCGTTCGTCTCGTTCGTTCGTCTCGTTCCTTCGTCTCGTTCGTTCGTCTCGTTCCTTCGTCTCGTTCGTCTCGTTCGTCTCGTTCGTTCGTCTCGTTCGTCTCGTTCGTCTCGTTCGTTCGTCTCGTCTCGTTCCTTCGTTCGTTCGTCTCGTTCCTTCGTCTCGTTCCTTCGTCTCGGCGTCGTGAGGAACACGAGACTCTGAGATTTCTGAGTTTCGCTCGAGTCGACGAGTTTTTCTCCTCGACACGAATCAACAAAAAAACTGACAAGAGTTTGAAAGAAAAAGAGGAAAATCATCATCATCATCATCATCATCGCAGCAGCAGGAGTCATGTGACTGTTGGTCCTGCAGGTGGAGCTGTTTCTCTCTGATCACACTTGATTCTGTTGTTCATCGTCTGTAGGTGCTTCTGTGTATCGTGGTCTATGGTTGTTTTTAAAGACGTCCTGCAGCTCTTCTGGTTTATAGTTTATAGAGTTTGGATCTTTCTTTTCGTATATTTTACTTTGTGTTTCTCTTTTTGTGCTTTGGGCTTCATCGTTTTTCTGTTTCATTCATAAGATTCATTTGATTTTGATTTTTTTAATCTCCTAAAATGATCCTGATGTTGTGACGTTTCAGTCTCTTGTCTGTGTCCTTTTACTTTGTTGTTTTGTGAACACAGATTTCCTGTCGTTTTTCTAGAGTTACAGGTTTTACGGCGTCTCACTTCACTTCACTTCTCCTCTTCCTCTTCCTCTTCGTCTTCGTCTTCGTCTTCGTCTTCGTCTCCAGAAATGATTTGATTCTTTTCTCGTGTGACTCACAAACTGCAGCTGAACTTTGTTCAGACGTTTGTGTTTTGTTTGTTTAAATTCACAGAACAAAACTTGGGGTCGAGTTCAGATCAGGTCGGTGTTTGTCTCGGCGTCAGTCCTGGTTTAGACCTGGTTTAGTCCTGGTTTAGACCTGGTTTAGTCCTGGTTTAGTCCTGGTTCAGTCCTGGTTTAGTCCTGGTTCAGTCCTGGTTCAGTCCTGGTTCAGTCCTGGTTTAGTCCTGGTTCAGTCCTGGTTTAGTCCTGGTTCAGTCCTGGTTCAGTCCTGGTTCAGTCCTGGTTCAGTCCTGGTTTAGTCCTGGTTCAGTCCTGGTTTAGTCCTGGTTTCCTGGTTCAGTCCTGGTTAGTCCTGGTTTAGTCCTGGTTCAGTTTGGCATCTCAGTTTAAATCATGTAAACGGTCGTTATGTTTTTTCCATTTTTCATTTAAACACAAAATCGAAAACTGAAAAAATTGAATCTTTAACTTTTTTTTTCATTTTGGTTTTGGAGACAAATAAAAAAGAAAATTGTTTTTTTTTTTTCGTTTCTTATTTTTGGTTTTATTTTGAAAAACGAATGAACGAACGACTCAAACACCGACCAGTGAACACCAGTTATTCACAATGAAATGATGACCGGTTCTGGTGGGTTCTGACCGTTTCTGGTGGGTTCTGACCGGTTCTGGTGGGTTCTGTGCAGGTTCCTGGACTCGGACCGGCTGAAGGTTCTGGGTCCGTTGGTGATGGGCGTCGGGATCTTCCTGTTCCTCTGCGCCAACGCCGTCCTCCACGAAAACCGAGACAAGAAAACCAAGATCATCAAACTCCAGGACATCTACTCCACTGTGATAGACCTGCACCAGACCAGAGACCGGACCAGGGACCAGACCAGAGACCAGACCAGGGACCAGACCAGAGACCAGACCAGGGACCAGACCAGGGACCAGATCAGGGACCAGACCAGAGACCGGATCAAAGACTGGACTAGGGACCAGACCAGGATCCTGACCCAAAACCTGGTCCCTGGTCCGGATCTGTGGGAGCGCGTGAATGGAGACCCGGGCTGTGGCACAAAATGGCTGCCTAGGAAAGGAGGAAGTGTGAAGGAAAGGAGAGAGGAGACAAGGGAGCAAGGGAGCAAGGAGGGAGGAGACGAGGAGGGAGGAGACGCGAAGGGAGTAGACGAGAAGGGAGGAAACGAGGAGAGAGGAAACGAAGGCGCTCAATCGAAGTGGTGGACGAGAAGAGGATGCAGCCTGAAGGAGAGAGGAGACAAGGGAGCGCAAACAAAATGGTGGACGAGGAAAGGAGGCAGCATGAGGGAGAGGAGGGAGGATACAAGGGCGCAAGGAAGCAAGGAGGGAGGAGACACGGAGTTAGGAAACAAGGAGAGAGGAAATGAAGGAGCTCAAGCAAAGTGGTGGATGAGGAGAGGATGCAGCCTGAAGGAGAGAGGAGACAAGGAGAGAGGAGACAAGGAGAGAGGAGCCAAAGAGCAAGGATATGAAGGCGCGTGGGCAAAATGGTGGACAAGGAAAGGAGGCAGTGTGAGGGAGAGGAGGGAGGAGGCAGGAAACGAGGAGAGAGGAGAGAAGGGAGGTGGGAGGAGGTGGTGGAGGAGAGGAGGGAGCGCCCGGGAGCGGGGGGGGGGGGGGGGAGGTGTTCAGTATCTTCCACGAGCAGCGAGTGGGCGGGGCCAGTCTCCACCGAGCGCCACCCCTAAAACGCCAAAGAGCGACCGCGGCCAATCGGAGCGCGGAGCTGGACGCCTCCTTCTCTCTGATTGGCTCGCGCTCCTTCTCCTGCTCTCTGATTGGTTCCCAGAGGCCGCTGCTGATGACGTCGCGCTCCTCGCTCGGACCCGCCCCCCGCACGCCCCCGGCCAATCGCAGGAGCAGCTGCGTCTGAGCCCCGCCCCCCGGCAGAGTGGTTAACCCTGCCGTCCTCCAGAGCGGCCGCGGCCACTTTCTCCTCCTCGTTTCCTTCTCCTTCAGTTGTTTCCTCAGGCCTCAGGAAACTCTAAAAGGCTCAGCCACGAATTTAGCTCCTCCTCTTCCTCTTCCTCTTCCTCCTCTTCCTCCTCTTCCTCCCTCTTCCTCCTCCTCTTCCTCTTCCTCGTCTGTGTCCGTCTCAGAACCTGCAGATGTTTCTGGTGTCATGAAAACAAAGTCGTTGTGACACTCGACATGAAGCTCATTTCCTCCAGTGAAAACAAAATAAAAGCCTCACAGAAAATCACCATTTTGACTTAAACATAATTATAATTAAAACTTTTAAACTCATAATTATGAGTTTCATTGAGGCTTTTATTTTGTATTTTGTGGCAGAATTGAACTTCTACATAAATACGACACAAATCAAACAAATGACACAAAGTGACGAACAAAATCTGTGTGTGTGTATAGTGTGTGTGTGTGTGTATAGTGTGTGTGTGTAGTGTGTGTGTGTGTATAGTGTGTGTGTATAGTGTGTGTGTGTGTGTGTGTGTATAGTGTGTGTGTGTATAGTGTGTGTGTGTAGTGTGTGTGTGTGTGTATAGTGTGTGTGTGTATAGTGTGTGTGTGTGTGTGTGGTGTGTATAGTGTGTGTGTGTAGTGTGTGTGTGTGTGTATAGTGTGTGTGTGTATAGTGTGTGTGTGTGTGTATAGTGTGTGTGTGTGTATAGTGTGTGTGTGTGTGTGTGTGTGTATAGTGTGTGTGTGTATAGTGTGTGTGTGTGTGTGTGTGTGTGTGTGTGTGTATAGTGTGTGTGTGTGTAGTGTGTGTGTGTGTGTATAGTGTGTGTGTGTGTGTATGTGTGTGTGTGTGTGTGTGTATAGTGTGTGTGTGTGTGTGTGTGTGTGTGTATAGTGTGTGTGTGTGTGTGTATAGTGTGTGTGTGTGTGTGTGTGTGTGTATAGTGTGTGTGTGTATAGTGTGTGTGTGTGTGTGTGTGTATAGTGTGTGTGTGTGTGTGTGTGTGTGTATAGTGTGTGTGTATAGTGTGTGTGTGTGTGTATAGTGTGTGTGTGTGTGTGTGTGTGTATAGTGTGTGTGTGTAGTGTGTGTGTGTGTATAGTGTGTGTGTGTGTGTGTGTGTGTGTGTATAGTGTGTGTGTGTGTGTGTGTGTGTGTGTGTGTATAGTGTGTGTGTGTATAGTGTGTGTGTGTGTGTATGTGTGTGTGTGTGTAGTGTGTGTGTGTGTGTATAGTGTGTGTGTGTAGTGTGTGTGTGTGTATAGTGTGTGTGTGTGCGTGTGTGTGTGTGTGTGTGCATGTGTGTACTTGTTGTTCAGACTCACTGTGATCGAAGCCTCTGCACTTTCACTTTCACTTTCACTAAAATCTCAAAAGTCATTTTTAAATTTTATGCAAAATTCCGTCTTTTTTCTTTTGAAATGTGAATTGTGAGTTTGTTTTAGTTTTTGTCTCAGCGTCTGGTCTGAGCTGGACGACGGCGTCAGAGGAAACATCTGAAGCGTCTGAAACGTCTGAAGCGTCTGAAGCAGGACTGTGCCAGACGAGATCTTCTGAGGTCCTCAAAATGGCGCCTGACATTCTGAGGACCTGCGGGACGTTTGCTGGACGTTACCGTGGCGACCTCTGTCCTCCATCTTGGACGTTTGTGTTTGTGTAAATATGTAAATGAGCTGAGCCGCGTGTGAAGAAGCACACACCCCCAGAGCACAACGCCGTCCAAATAAACCTGATGCCCCGCCACAAAACCAGCCTCAAACATCTGCTGCACATTTTTATTAAACGCTTTTGTCATAAAACACGACTCGACTCTTTAATCTGAAACTCTGTACAAACACACGTCAAACGAAACAATTTAAGACGCACAATTCATCAACAAACGAATCACAAACTCAGACTTTTGTTCAGTTTTTGTTCTGAGGCAAATTTAGAATTTTCATTTGAAATAAATAAAAACTTTGTTCTGTTTGGATCTGAAACTTTAAAATACGACGAAAACAAAAACACAAAATAAAACACACAAACATCTGAGGACCCACATCAGGACCAAGACCAGGACCAGGACCGGACCAGGACCAGACCAAGACCAAGACCAAGACCAAGACCAGACCAGGACCAAGACCAGACCAGGACTGGACCAGGACCAGGACCAGGACCAGGGTTTGGGTTCTTTCACGGTGACATCAGTTGTTCCATCAGATCCAGAAGTTGTTGGTTTTGTTTTTTTGTTTTTTGTTTTTTTGTTTTTGTTAAATTTTCAGGGAGGAGAGACTCATGATGTCATTTCCTGTTTGTGGTGAGTGAAGAAAACGAGGAGCGAAACTCGACCTGAAGCCAAACGAGCTCCGAGTCATGATGGAGCGACCGAAGGAACCAGATACTGCAGGTCCACCGGGTCCACCTGTGTGCGCCGGGTCCACCTGTGTGCCGGGTCCACCTGTGTGCGCCGGGTCGCTCTGTGTGCGCCGGGTCCACCTGTGTGCGCCGGGTCCACCTGTGTGCGCCGGGTCCACCTGTGTGCGCCGGGTCGCCCTGTGTGCGCCAGGTCGCTCTGTGTGCACTGGGTCACTTAAAGCGTGTGACGGGGGTCAGAGGTTCTTAGGCGAGTCGGAGAAACTGTTTCTGCTGCAGGTCGACTCGAGGGGACGGGGACCTGCACCTCGATAATGAGACGATCCAGCAGCATCTCTGTGTCTCTGCGTCTCTGTGTCTCTGCGTCTCTGTGTCTCTGTTCTCTGTGTCTCTGTCTCTGTGTCTCTGTCTCTGTGTCTCTGTGTGTCTCTGTCTCTGTCTCTGCGTCTCTGTGTCTCTGTCTCTGTGTCTCTGTGTCTCTGTCTCTGTGTCTCTGTCTCTGTCTCTCTGTGTCTCTGCGTCTCTGCGTCTCTGTGTCTCTCTGTGTGTCTCTGTGTCTCTGTCTCTGTCTCTGTGTCTCTGTCTCTGTGTCTCTGTCTCTGTGTCTCTGTCTCTGTGTCTCTGCGTCTCTGTGTCTCTGTGTCTCTGTCTCTGTCTCTGCGTCTCTGTGTCTCTGTGTCTCTGTGTCTCTGTCTCTGTGTCTCTGTCTCTGTGTCTCTGTGTCTCTGTGTCTCTGCGTCTCTGTGTCCTCTGCGTCTCTGCGTCTCTGCGTCTCTGCGTCTCTGTGTCTCTGTGTCTCTGCGTCTCTGCGTCTCTGTCTCTGTGTCTCTGTGTCTCTGCGTCTCTGCGTCTCTGCGTCTCTGCGTCTCTGCGTCTCTGCGTCTCTGCGTCTCTGTCTCTCTGTGTCTCTGAGTCTCTGTGTCTCTGTGTCTCTGTCTCTGTCTCTGTCTCTGCGTCTCTGCGTCTCTGTCTCTGTCTCTGAGTCTCTGTGTCTCTGTGTCTCTGTGTCTCTGCGTCTCTGAGTCTCTGCGTCTCTGCGTCTCTGCGTCTCTGTGTCTCTGCGTCTCTGCGTCTCTGCGTCTCTGCTCTCTGTGTCTCTGCGTCTCTGTGTCTCTGCGTCTCTGTGTCTCTGTGTCTCTGCGTCTCTGTGTCTCTGTGTCTCTGCGTCTGTGTCTCTGCGTCTCTGTGTCTCTGTGTCTCTGCGTCTCTGTGTCTCTGCGTCTCTGTGTCTCTGCGTCTCTGTCTCTGTGTCTCTGTGTCTCTGCGTCTCTGCGTCTCTGCGTCTCTGTGTCTCTGCGTCTCTGCGTCTCTGCGTCTCTGCGTCTCTGCGTCTCTGCGTCTCTGCGTCTCTGTGTCTCTGCGTCTCTGTGTCTCTGTGTCTCTGTGTCTCTGTGTCTCTGTGTCTCTGTGTCCCTGCGTCTCTGCGTCTCTGCGTCTCTGCGTCTCTGCGTCTCTGCGTCTCTGCGTCTCTGCGTCTCTGTGTCCTGCGTCTCTGTGTCTCTGTGTCCCTGCGTCTCTGTGTCTCTGTGTCTCTGCGTCTCTGCGTCTCTGCGTCTCTGCGTCTCTGCGTCTCTGCGTCTCTGTGTCTCTGCGTCTCTGCGTCTCTGCGTCTCTGCGTCTCTGCGTCTCTGTGTCTCTGTGTCTCTGTGTCGTCTCTGCGTCTCTGCGTCTCTGTGTCTGCGTCTCTGCGTCTCTGCGTCTCTGCGTCTCTGCGTCTCTGCGTCTCTGCGTCTCTGTGTCCCTGCGTCTCTGTGTCCCTGCGTCTCCTGCGTCTCTGTGTCTCTGCGTCTCTGCGTCTCTGCGTCTCTGCGTCTCTGCGTCTCTGCGTCTCTGCGTCTCTGTCTCTGCGTCTCTGCTGCGTCTCTGCGTCTCTGCGTCTCTGTCTCTGTCTCTGTGTCTCTGTGTCTCTGTGTCTCTGTGTCTCTGTGTCTCTGCGTCTCTGCGTCTCTGTGTCTCTGCGTCTCTGCGTCTCTGCGTCTCTGCGTCTCTGCGTCTCTGCGTCTCTGCGTCTCTGCGTCTCTGCGTCTCTGCGTCTCTGCGTCTCTGCGTCTCTGTCGTCTCTGTGTCTCTGCGTCTCTGCGTCTCTGCGTCTCTGCGTCTCTGCGTCTCTGCGTCTCTGCGTCTCTGCGTCTCTGTGTCTCTGTCTCTGCGTCTCTGTGTCTCTGTGTCCCTGCGTCTCTGCGTCTCTGCGTCTCTGCGTCTCTGCGTCTCTGTGCGTCTCTGTGTCTCTGTGTCTCTGCGTCTCTGCGTCTCTGCGTCTCTGTGTCTCTGTGTCTCTGTGTCTCTGCGTCTCTGCGTCTCTGCGTCTCTGCGTCTCTGCGTCTCTGCGTCTCTGTGTCTCTGTGTCTCTGCGTCTCTGTGTCTCTGCGTCTCTGTGTCCCTGCGTCTCTGCGTCTCTGCGTCTCTGCGTCTCTGCGTCTCTGCGTGTCTCTGCGTCTCTGTGTCTCTGTGTCTCTGCGTCTCTGCGTCTCTGCGTCTCTGCGTCTCTGTGTCTCTGTGTCTCTGTGTCTCTGTGTCTCTGCGTCTCTGTGTCTCTGTGTCTCTGTGTCTCTGTGTCTCTGCGTCGTCGGTGGGACCAGGTTTTGTCGGTTTGAGGTGAAAGGAACAAACTGGAGTCTGATACAAAAGAACCAGACACACAAACCCAAACACTCTGCTCCACCTCGTGATGTCATCATGTGGTGATACAGGAAGTGCTCCACTGTGTTTTTAAACTCCACACTTCACCTTCACTAGAATCATCTGGAACATTTCAGTTTTGGAGTCGTCGATCTCGACTCAACTAAAGGAGCTGTTCACTTGATGACATCACAAGGTGGAACAGAGCGTTTGAAGCTTTGGAGATGAAACAAACTCAGAACAAACAAACAAACAAACAAACAAACAAACGACTCCAGCTCTGAGTGAGACCAGAACAACACAACAGTTTGTACAGGAGCTTTAAATAGTGTCCTCGTGGTCGCCGTGGTGATCAGTAGTCATCGTAGCGGTCGCCGTGGTGATCAGTCGTCGTAGTAGCGGTCGCCGTGGTGATCAGTAGTCGTCGTAGCGGTCGCCGTGGTGATCAGTAGTCATCGTAGCGGTCGCCGTGGTGATCAGTAGTCATCGTAGCGGTCGCCGTGGTGATCAGTAGTCGTCGTAGCGGTAGCCGCCGTAGCCGTAGCGGTAGTCGTAGGCGTCGCGCTCGGTTTTGGCGGGGACGGCGTCGGGCGGAAACGACAGCGACTTGATGACGCCCGATTCGTCGCTGAGTTTGACCTCGGCCGAGTAGGAGGGGCCGGCGCCGCTGTCGTCCAATAAGGAGCCGAGGCCGGGCTTCGGGGGCGGGACGCAGGAAGTGAAGGGCGACAGGGCGGGTTTAGGGCACGGCTGGTACGACACCTGAGCAGGAGGTGCGCGGTTAGCATTAGAGCAGGATCAGAGCGTGAGGGGAGGGGCGGCGCGTACCTTGGTGGTGGTGGTGATGATCGTCTGAAGGGCGGCGGGCGAACCCGGGCCGTTGCCGGGGAAACGACAGGGGTAGTCGCTATGGTAACAGTGGTTCCAGGAAGCGGGCGTGGCCTTGGCCTGGGGGTCGTAGGTCGCAGACGAGGAAGAAGAGAGAGGAGCCGAGGAAGAGGACGACCCCAAGACCGGAGTCATCATCCTGCAAGAGAAACTGGACTGAACCAGGACTAAACCAGGACTAAACCAGGTCTAAACCAGGACTAAACCAGGACTAAACCAGGACTAAACCAGGACTGAACCAGGACTAAACCAGGTCTAAACCAGGACTAAAACCAGGACTAAACCAGGACTGAAACTAAACCAGGACTAAACCAGGACTAAACCAGGACTAAACCAGGACTGAACCAGGACTAAACCAGGTCTAAACCAGGACTAAACCAGGACTAAACCAGGACTGAAAAATCTGCTTTCTGTGTTTGTGTGGAGGTCAGGTGGGCGGGGCCAGGTGGGCGGGGCTTACCTGGGGTCGCAGAGGTCGGGCGTGGCATGGGCGGGGGGGTACGTCGGGGGTGTGATGTAACTCTGCAGTTCGTATCCGTGGCGACCGACGTAGAGCCTGGGATTGGTGGGTTTGTGCAGAGGGGGCGGGGCCTCTCCCAGGGCATTGTGGGAGCTGTAGTACGACTCTGCGGCGAACGGCGGGTACGGCTGCGGGTACGACTGCTCCAGCGAATCAACACACGGCAGGAGGGCGGGGCCAGGGAGCTGAGGACCAATCACAGAGAAGGTTTGTGTTTCTTAGAACGTGTGGAGAACGTGTGGAGAACGTTTGTTCTAGCACATGTGTAAAACCACATGTTCTACACACATGTCCCTGTCACATGGAGCAGGAGCCCTGTGTCCCTGTGAGTAGTAATAGTAGTACTTGTAGTACTCGTAGTCCTGGTACTACTGGTAGTACTTGTAGTACTTGTAGTACTGGTAGTACTGGTAGTACTGGTAGTACTCGTAGTACTGGTAGTACTGGTAGTACTCGTAGTACTGTAGTACTTGTAGTACTGGTAGTACCTGTAGTACTGGTAGTACTTGTAGTACTTGTAGTACTTGTAGTACCTGTAGTACCTGTGGGTCCATTAGTCTCCTCTTGTACTATACTTGTACTGTACTGGTAGTATTGCAGTACTCGTAGTACTGGTAGTACTGGTAGTACTTGTAGTACTGGTAGTACTGGTAGTACTGGTAGTACTTGTAGTACTTGTAGTACCTGTAGTACCTGTGGGTCCAGGAGTCTCCTCTTGTACTGGGGACTTGTACTCGTGACTCGTCTCTTAATCGAGCTGCGTCGAGCTTCAGTCTCAGACTTGGACTCAGGTCTCGGGTGATCGTGGACGCCTTTGGCCTGGACCAGAGACCGAGAACCAAGTCAGAACTAAACCAGGTCTACCCCAGAACTAAACCAGGTCTACACCAGAACTAAACCAGGTCTACACCAGAACTAAACCAGGTCTACACCAGAACTAAACCAGGTCTACACCCAGAACTAAACCAGGTCTACACCAGAACTAAACCAGGTCTACCCCAGAACTAAACCAGGTCTACACCAGAACTAAACCAGGTCTACACCAGAACTAAACCAGGTCTACACCAGAACTAAACCAGGTCTACCCCAGATCTAAACCAGGTCTACACCAGAACTAAACCAGGTCTACACCCCAGAACTAAACCAGGTCTACACCAGAACTAAACCAGGTCTACACCAGAACTAAACCAGGTCTACCCAGATCTAAACCCTACAGGTCTACACCAGATCTAAACCAGGTCTACACCAGAACTAAACCAGGTCTACCCAGAACTAGGTCTAACTAAACCAGGTCTACACCAGAACTAAACCAGGTCTACCCCAGAACTAAACCAGGTCTACACCAGAACTAAACCAGGTCTACACCAGAACTAAACCAGGTCTACACCAGAACTAAACCAGGTCTACCCAGAACTAAACCAGGTCTACACCAGATAAACCAGGTCTACACCAGAACTAAACCAGGTCTACACCCCAGATCTAAACCAGGTCTACCCCAGATCTAAACCAGGTCTACACCAGATCTAAACCAGGTCTACACCAGAACTAAACCAGGTCTACCCCAGAACTAAACCAGGTCTACCCCAGAACTAAACCAGGTCTACCCCAGATCTAAACCAGGTCTACCCCAGATCTAAACCAGGTCTACACCAGAACTAAACCAGGTCTACCCCAGAACTAAACCAGGTCTACCCCAGATCTAAACCAGGTCTACCCCAGAACTAAACCAGGTCTACACCAGAACTAAACCAGGTCTACCCCAGATCTAAACCAGGTCTACTGCAGGTCGGGGTCGGACCTGGAAGAAGATGCTTCTCCCGTCCACTCTCCAGAAGTTGGTGACCGGGTACCCGCTGTGCCCACGACACGGCACCAGCTCCAGAGGCGCCTGGCAGAGCGGGCACAGCTTCTCTGAAACACACACGGGCACAGACGGGCACAAAGGGACGGGCACAGAGGGACGGGCACAGAGGGACGAGCACAAAGGGACGGGCACAAAGGGACGGGCACAAAGGGACGAGCACAAAGGGACGGGCACAGAGGGACGGGCACAAAGGGACGAGCACAAAGGGACGGGCACAGAGGGACGGGCACAGAGGGACGGGCACAGAGGGACGGGCACAAAGGGACGGGCACAAAGGGACGGGCACAAAGGGACGGGCACAGTTATGTTAAAAAAGATAAAGCAAGTTGTTATTGTCCTGTTTTAGTCTGGTTTAGTCCTGGTTTAGTCCTGGTCTAGTCCCGGTCCTGGTCCTGGTCCTGGTCTTGGTCCTGGTCCTGGTCCTGGTCCTGGTCCTGGTCTTGGTCTTGGTCTTGGTCTTGGTCTTGGTCCTGGTCTTGGTCCTGGTCTTGGTCCTGGTCCTAGTCCTGGTCCCGGTCTCGGTCTCACTCTGCTGTTTGGTCCTGGTTTAGTCCTGATTTGGTTCTGGTTTAGTCCTGGTCCCGGTCCTGGTCCTGGTCCCAGTCCCGGTCCTGGTTCTGGTCCTGGTTCTGGTCCTGGTCTAGTCCTGGTCTCGGTCCTGGTCCTGGTCCTGGTCTTGGTCCCGGTCTAGTCCTGGTCTCGGTCCTGGTCCTGGTCCTGGTCCTGGTCCCAGTCTAGTCCCGGTCCCGGTCCCGGTCTCACTCTGCTGTTTGGTCCTGGTTTAGTCCTGGTTTGGTCCTGGTTTAGTCCCGGTCCCGGTCCCGGTCCCGGTCCCGGTCTCACTCTGCTGTTTGGTCCGGGCCTTGTCGCAGATGGCGGGTCGGAGCTGGAGTCTGGACCCGTCTGGACTGGAACAGGTTCTGGAGCAGAGGACGACTCCCAGGCAGGATTTCTTCAGGATCTGACAGTTGTGATTGTTTGTGTTTCTCATGGCCCAACCAGACAAGTGCCGCTGGGCGTTTTTATCCTCCGCTGAAACACACGAGGACCCGTCACACACAGACCTATACACACACACACACACAGACCTATACACACACACAGACCTATACACACACACACACACACAAACACAGACCTATACACACACAGACCAATACACACACAGACCTATACACACAGACCTATACACACACAGACCTATACACACAGACCTATACACACACACAGACCTATACACACACACACACAGACCTATACACACACACAGACCTATACACACACACACACACAGACCTATACACACACACACACAGACCTATACACACACACACACACACAAACACAGACCTATACACACACAGACCAATACACACACAGACCTATACACACAGACCTATACACACACACAGACCTATACACACAGACCTATACACACACACACACAGGACTATACACACACACACACAGACCTATACCTATACACACACACACAGACCTATACACACACACACACACACACACACACAGACCTATACACACAGACCTATACACACACACAGAGACCTATACACACAGACCTATACACACACACACACACACACACACAGACCTATACACACAGACCTATACACACACACACACAGACCTATACACACACACACACACAGACCTATACACACAGACCTATACACACACAGACCTATACACACACACACACACAGACCTATACACACACACACACACGACCTATACACACACACACACACACACACACACAGACCTATACACACACACACACAGACCTATACACACACACACAGACCTATACACACACACACACAGACCTATATACACACAGACCTATACACACACACACACACAGACCTATACACACACAGACCTATACACACACACACACACAGACCTATACACACAGACCTATACACACACAGACCTATACACACACACACACACAGACCTATACACACACACACACACAGACCTATACACACAGACCTATACACACACACACAGACCTATACACACACAGACCTATACACACACAGACCTATACACACACACAGACCTATACACACACACACACACAGACCTATACACACACAGAGACCTATACACACACACACAGACCTATACACACACACACACAGACCTATACACACAGACCTATACACACAGACCTGTACACACAGACCTATACACACAGACCTGTACACACAGACCTATACACACAGACCTGTACACACACAGACCTATACACACACACACACAGACCTATACACACACACACAGACCTATACACACACACACAACCTATACACACACACACAGACCTATACACACAGACCTATACACACACACACAGACCTGAACACACACAGACCTATACACACAGACCTGTACACACAGACCTATACACACACAGACCTAAACACACACACACACAGACCTATACACACAGACCTATACACACACACACAGACCTGAACACACACAGACCTATACACACAGACCTGTACACACAGATCCATACACACACAGACCTATACACACACACACAGACCTATACACACAGACACACACACACACAGACCTATACACACACAGACCTATACACACACACAGACCTATACACACACACACACACACACAGACCTATACACACACAGACCTATACACACACAGACATACACACACAGACCTATACACACACAGACCTGTACACACACAGACCTATACACACAGACCTGTACACACAGGCCTATACACACAGACCTATACACACACACACACAGACCTATACACACAGACCTATACACACACAG